AACCAGGGCTGTTTCAAGGGCAGCTCGACTTGGTTGAAGATAAATGAAGATGTTTTGCTCAGAAGCTTGTTCAGTTCTTACTGGACTGATTTTATTTGAACCTTCCTTTGATTAGAGATTTGTTTGTAAAAGTCCTGCCCTTTAGCTTTAAATAAAACTTATAGTTTGAGTTTTGTTCTGCAAGTTCAGGAGCTTCTTCCTACAAGTGGGGAGGAGGTATTTTATCAGCATCGTAGCCTTAAGATGCTTTGTGGAAACGGGGCCTGGGTTGTACGTTTCTGTTTGGCCAACAGCAAACAATAACATTTATTTTTTTCTGTCCAGCTCCACCTGAGGTCTTCATGTTCTCAAAAAACACCACTGTTGAGTCAAAGGTCATGTTGACGTGCCTGGCCACAGGTTTCTACCCAAAAGACATCATCCTGAACATCAAGAGAAACGGTCGTGTTCTAACTAAAGAGGACGGAGTGGTTACCTCGGGCGTTCGACCAAATGAAGACGACACCTTCCAGAGAAGAGACAGTGTGGAGATTTTAAGGAGTGACACGTCTACATTCACCTGTGAAGTGACTCATCCTGCATCCAGGTTACATGTAGAGAAGAATGGGGTAAGAAACTTTTAAAGTTATTTACCATTTGTTTCTACATTATTGCAGAAAGTGTTTCTTATGATTGAAATCACTGTACCAGCAAATGTTCTTTGTCTTAAGCCACAAGGAAGTCCCTGAGATTTAGCTTTGGCCATCACGTCTTAACTGTTCCAGTAACAAATTCATATCAGGAAACACAACATTTACTACAAGGAAGTAACCGCGACAACATTTAGAAAGTTAAGAAACCGATGAGATCCACATTACAATCGATCAGAATGGCTTTACATGACAGGAAAAATCTAAAATCATGAGTTAATGTCTTTGTTTAGCTACAGTGCGGTAAAAGCTGCATATCATTAAGATTATAATTTTTCTATTTTGTCTAAATGTGATTGAAGATGGTGCTTGATGAATTTATTTTTGTATCATGGTTAGATTCAATTTGTAATTTTTTAATTTAAGTTTAGCTAAAGTTCAATATTCACTGACAGTCTATTTTTGACTGAAGCCGCGTCCAGCAGCACAGAGCAGATGAACCAGGTTAGAAGTCAGACACAATGGCATAGAGAATCTGGTTGATTTTCAAAATAAAACACCCTTTGCAGACTCCAATAAACACAGTTAAAACAGACCACAACAATTCGTAGCTACTTAATCCTGGAAGAAGCACAAAAATCAAGGACAACTCAACAAATAAGCAAAATCTGAACTTGCATGGTCTGTCACACAAGGATGACAACGGAATGATTAATCTGTTACTGCCTGACTGTCAGATGTGCGGGATAATTAACCTACATTTTAATCGCCATCTTCACAATTAGCTAATGGCGTTCTTTCAAATCGCAATTTCGATTTGAAAACGATTAATCGTTCAGCCCTAGTTTTTACAAACAAAAGAAAAAAATTTTGAACTTGTAGAAGAAAAGAACCTTTTTTTTTTTTTTTGAGACTTGACATGGTCTCCTCTCAGAACATCCTCTTTTTCTGTTTAATGTATTCAAATGCAGCATTACTATCACTCACCTTCTACATTGTCTTTGTATATTGAAAAAATGTTCAAAGTGAATATAAAACTAATGTGAATGTTTTCTGTGTTTTAGATCATAAACTCCCTCCTGGACCTGGAGGACTTGGACCCATCATTGGTGGGGTTGTAGTGCTGCTCGTGTTGGGCGTAGTCGGTGTGGTGCTGGCTGTCTTGTGCAAAAAAGGCATAATTGGTAGGTGGCATTTATATGTAACCATCGTCTTCTCTTGACAACATGATATCAGTAGAGTGGAATCATTTTTTTCTAAAATTTATTTTATATTCTTTAATAAAATACACAAACAATGTAATTTCTTTTATTAAGAGAAAACAAAACAAACTGAACAGTAAAGTTCTGTGCTTAAAGAACAGCCGTGGTTCTTTAACAGTAAATCGTGGTTTATGCTTCATATTAACATTTTACCAACAAGGACATCATCAAATCATTAATATGTAATAATCGAGTTCCATGATGAACAATTGAAATTTTGCTGGGAGCTTCCTGGTTTCTGCCTCACAGTTAATAGTTCTTTGTTGTTTTCTGTTTCAAAGATACATACAATACCTTTTACTACCTGTAGTACTTAAATATCTTTCTATATTTCTTATAAAATGCCAATAAAAACCACCATAAAAAAAGGATTTCCTTTAGCCTGTAGCTTCTTTTTGGTTCAGAACTCCAGTCAAAGAGGCTTAAAGCGTGCAGTAAACAGCAGGATAACTGATGGAGTTCATTTCATCTTCTTTAGCCCCGCAGTAGGAATGTCGTGCCAACCCACCATGCCTATTAGCATATTAACAGCTAGAGTTTAGTGTTAGGACTATAAATACTGTGAGACTACAGACGTGTTCTACCCTGTTGTTTGCACTGAGATATGCATCTGTTAAATATCTGTAGTTGTCAGGCCACTAGAGACAGAGTTGCTCATTGATGAGTAGGTTTCAAATATTCCCATGTGATTATTTACTAAATATTAATAATCTTAATATAAATGATCTGCCACAACATAAAACTCAATAATGTGATAGAGGATTTTATCAGTATCACCCATCCCATCACCAACATGTTGATTAACATCTTAATTTTGGACCAAATAATGCATTCAACTTTAAAATTTACATAATTTGCTCCGAGACGGTCCAAGGCCCGCCCACCATAGTCTCTTAAAATCCTGTGGGGAAGCACTGACTTCTGAATCAACAGTTTAAGTGAAGACTTTTGATTGTCCTCAGATTTAATCTGTGTTCAAACTGTGAACTTTAACGCTGTGTATTTTTAAAGTCAACATGCTTTTGGAAGGACAGATGCAGATTTAGACCATGCCACTGATTTCATCTATGATCTATTAACATTGTCTTTTTTAACAGGACCTGGAGCCAACAGTTCACAAGGTAACTACTTTAAGTCTCTCGAAGTTTTATGACGTTTATTGTTCAGAAGTTACTTTAACTTGATAACTGAACAAAATAAAAACAGTTATAAGATGATGGGCCTTAATGTTTCCTGTGTGAGGACAATAATCCCAGTAACACAGCAGACGACACCAAACCTCTCAACAAGGGTGTTTTCCTCTAGAAACACAAAGACGTGATGTTTCATTGAGCTATTAGATACTGTACATTTTCTTTTCATCACGGGGTCAAATAGGTTTCTCATTTAGATAAATCTATCAGCAGATACCCAATATTAAAACTGAATAAGACCAACCTTATTGTTGAAGTTAGTCAGCTGTACATTGGATATTCCAGAAATATCTAAATGGATAAAATAGTTTATTTTGTGTGTACCACTTACGGGCGTAGTTGTTAACCAAGGTAAGCGCTTTATTTCTCTGCTCTGTATTCTAAAAATGTTTTTATATTGTTACAACCCTGACTCAGAAGCAGGAAACACAAAAGTCTGCTCAAACCAAACTTAAGTTTACACAATTTAGTCCTTAAGTGTCACAGAGTTACCTAAAAGACCATGCCACTGACTTCATCTATGATTTATTGTCTGTTAACATTAAAACCTGGACAAATAAAATAAAATCTACACAGAGTAGAACTTTATGGGACAAATTGGGTGAACTGACCTTTTTAATGAAAGAGAAGGCAGAAAAAACATTAAAACCGAGAGCAGTTTTCATTATCTGTTGTGTTTGTGTGTGTGTGTGCGTGTGTGTGTATATAAAATACACACATGAAAACATCTCATGTAATCTCATAATTACATTACAGACCTCTGATGTTGTGTTTTGTGGGCACTGCTGTGAGCTCGCACGCTCACACACTTGTTTCTGTCACTTTGTGGGAAGGCGATTAAGCTAGCCGCGCCTAAATTTGGAGTGCACACGTATTAAAGCCTTTATGGTAACTGAAACGGCCCAGAGCGAGCTGACAGGCAGGTTAGAGACTTTATCCTGTCAGTTTGTCTCTTTACAAAGACAAGTGTTGCAGTATGAGAGTCCTGCCTGAAGAGAGGCTGTGAAGTCTTCATGTTACCACATACAACATTATTTATCAAACCGGGTCGGACTGGATGAATTTAGCTTGAGGAGGATACAACTGTTTCCAAAATACGGTGTCTATACAGTATGGAAATAAGATTAAGATCTATTCTTTGATTTAGGGTTGCTGGAAAAACATTGAATAAATTTGTTGACTTTTGTTGCTGTTTCATCACCATTTATAGCGATACAGTGGTTTTATGATCAAATAGTTTACTAGAGCACAACATTGTCTACAAGAGTGCAAAGTGTTTCATAGATAGCCTCTTAATTTTGCACCAAATAATGCATTTAACTTTAAAATGTACAAAATTTGCTCCGAGACGGTCCAAGGCCCGCCCACCATAGTCTCTTAAAATCCTGTGGGGAAGCACTGACTTCTGAATCAACAGTTTAAGTGAAGACTTTTGATTGTCCTCAGATTTAATCTGTGTTCAAACTGTGAACTTTAACGCTGTGTATTTTTAAAGTCAACATGCTTTTGGAAGGACAGATGCAGATTTAGACCATGCCACTGATTTCATCTATGATCTATTAACATTGTCTTTTTTTAACAGGACCTGGAGCCAACAGTTCACAAGGTAACTACTTTAAGTTTTATGAAGTTTATTGTTCAGAGGTTACTGTCACTTGATGATCGAACAAAATGAAATGTTGTCTGGTTTGTGTGCTTTTTGCTGGGTGCTTGAATGAAAGACTACAAAAATATTTTGTGTGTGTGTGTGTGTTAACCCCAGTAACACAGTGAATGACACCACACCTCTCAGCATGGGTGTAATTAATAAATACATTTTCTTTTCTTCACAGGGTCAAAATCGTCTCTCAGCAGCGGTGGCTCTGGTGGCTCTGGTGGCTCTGGTAACTCTGGTAACTCTGGCTCCTCCAGTAAGTATCTGTGACACCTGATTGAAAGCTACACTGAGCAGGTTTATACTTGAGTATGCCTAAGTTGTCTTCTGCCCCCCAGCGACTAAACGTCTTTTAACAATCTAAGTGCCCATTAATTCATGCCGAGTTTGGTAATAACCCAAAGTTAATATCCTTTAAGTTAGTCAGCTGTACGCAGGATATTCCAAAAATATCTGAGTGGATAAAATAGTTTATTTTATGTGTGTTAACATTTGTTTTCATTAACAGGTGCACCGCTTTTACCTCTAGCTGCTCCCCCTGGTAAGTGTTTTATTTCTCTGCTCTGTATTTTAAAAGTTCCTTAAATTTTAAGGAAGCGCTACTGCCGACTAGCGTTTGGGGGTGTAATCGCAGAATGACGGACACACCTACGCACAAGTATAAATGCAGGCTACGTGCGTAGCCTACGGCGTAGGTACACACGTAGACCCTACACAGGAGTATAAATGGGCCTTAAAGCATGCTTAAACCAAATTTAACTTTATACATTTTAGTTCTTGCGTGTCGCAAGTTCCTTAAAAGACCATTACACTGTTTGATTACTATGACTATGATTTATTAACATTCTCTTTATTCACAGCTGCTGCCAACAATGGACCCAACTCTGCTCAAAGTAAGTACTTTAAGTCTCTCGAAGTTTTATGACGTTTATTGTTCAGAAGTTACTTTAACTTGATAACTGAACAAAATAAAAACAGTTATAAGATGATGGGCCTTAATGTTTCCTGTGTGAGGACAATAATCCCAGTAACACAGCAGACGACACCAAACCTCTCAACAAGGGTGTTTTCCTCTAGAAACACAAAGACGTGATGTTTCATTGAGCTATTAGATACTGTACATTTTCTTTTCATCACGGGGTCAAATAGGTTTCTCATTTAGATAAATCTATCAGCAGATACCCAATATTAAAACTGAATAAGACCAACCTTATTGTTGAACTTAGTCAGCTGTACATTGGATATTCCAGAAATATCTAAATGGATAAAATAGTTTATTTTGTGTGTGTTTTAACTTTGTTTTCATTAACAGATGTACCACTTATGGACCAAACGTAAGTGCTTTATTTTTCTGCTCTGTATTCTAAAAATGTTGGTCCTGAAATTTTATGTTTTTATGTGAATGATTTTTATATTCTAACCCTGACTCAGAAGCAGGAAACACAAAAGTCTGCTCAAACCAAACTTAAGTTTACACAATTTAGTCCTTAAGTGTCACAGAGTTACCTAAAAGACCATGCCACTGACTTCATCTATGATTTATTGTCTGTGTTAACATTAAAACCTGGACAAATAAAATAAAATCTACACAGAGTAGAACTTTATGGGACACATTGGGTGAACTGACCTTTTAATGAAAGAGAAGGCAGAAAAAACATTAAAAAGCGAGAGCAGTTTTCATTATCTGTTGTGTGTGTGCGTGTGTGTGTGTGTGTGTGTGTGTGTGTGTGTGCGTGTGTATAAAATAACACTTATTTTCTTTCCTACAGCCAAGGACTCGCCCAGTAACAACACCAACGGCTAGACAAATAGTGTTCTGGATGAAAACAGACGAAATAATGAGGAACTGCTTAATTTCTGCAGATAATATAATTACATACATGAAGATTCACTTTGCTCTCTGGAACCAAATTTAGCAATTCAACAGATACATTTACTGTGGGATACAAACGTAAACCGTGAACCTTCAATATTCAAACAGCACCGACTTGTTGTTGTAGCACTTTGTACCTTGGAAACAGATGGATGAGCACTAAGTAAAAGTTATAGTGCTTATCTAAAATAGTTAAAAGTTGAATGAGCTTGTTTTTGTCAGGGTTAAAAGATCGTAGGTCAGGTTTGGATTCAGGATGATTTAGAAAAGTATGAAAAAATTAAAGCACCTTAAAGAGAAAAAAAATATGTTGTTGGATCAGAGATCTTAAATGCTAACATTTACAACTAAATTTCCACCAGCGCTGAAAGTAAATGGAATAAAGTCAGTGATGGAAACAGCTGTTTGTTCGTCACGCTGTCAGTGAAAAAAGGTTTTCAGTATTGCAATCAAGGTGGGTGGGACACTGGGGGGGTTAAATTAATGGACATTTTTTATTATATATATAACTATGATATATTAATATAATCATATTGACGAAATTGAGTCCTTTACTTATATAATTTGCATAATTGAATCCATTTACTACAAATGATAGTATGCTTCACATTACTGCTAACAATCCTCAGGAAAACTCAATTTATTTTAATTTTATGCTGTGAAAACATTGACTTTAGACTTGCTGCAGATGATCCACAACAGGAAACGTAACTTTTACAATAAATACAGCAGGTGGATTATTCAACCTGAGGATGTTTTAAATTCCACAAGATTAAAGTGCATGGAAACCAATGGCTACCTCAAAACACACAATTGGAAAGAAGCTTTTAGCGCTTAGTTCAGTAAACGTGATTTGTAGTAAATGAGCTAAAATGCATAAATACACTGGTATGATCATTTAAGTAGTCACAGGGTTCAGCCTGGATTAAAAAGAAGTAATCAATGTATTTTCAAATGGGTGAAAATCATTGATCATTTAAAGCAAATTACTGCTTAAATTCATTTAATACTCTGTTGTAAATAATGTTTTTATTGTTTAAGCTCTTAAAAAGTGCCTTTTTACCGCCTGTTTATCTGTCACTATAAAATATGCTCACTGATTGATTTATAGGACTTTGAATTAAGAATTTCATCAGTTCTTTACTCCAAGATTAAATTAATACTGTTTGCAGAGTTTTACTGTAAACACATTAATTTAGTGACTTACTGGTAAATTGTTTTTGGTGGGTTTTTGCCTTAAACAAATGTAATATATTTTTTATTTGTTCTTTGGCACTTATGTAGTCAGCAAATATGGAAATATTATTATCCAGCTGTTTATTTTTTAAAGTGTGAGGATCGTTTGCTTATTTACCTGTGGTGTAACATTCACTCCTGGGGATAATATTTCTTTAAATATCTTTTTTTCTTTGGAAATAAAATGAAATGACATTTGAAGAAATCTCCAGTGAATCCTAAAGTCTGCATTATGTTATGTAGTTTGTCAGCGATAACATGGATTGTAAGACTGTAGTGGAGATTATTAAATATTTGCAGCTACTGTCTAAAAAGTTATAATTAGTCATTAATATTTAATTGTGAATCTGTGTGCCAAAATTTTTGGATAGAAATTCAATTCTATTTTTTGTATGGTTTCTTTAAAAGGCCAAAGCCAAAACATGATCACATTAGTATTTCCCCTTTTACTTGTGTTGTCTCTTTAAATGTTCCCTGTTTGGGGGTTGTGGTGTTTGAAACATGTGCTCATGTTAAATAAAGGCAATCATAACAAAATGGTTGTTGAACCTGCAGTAAAGAGTTACCACTGTCTCTATATACAACATCTTGGTCCGCCTGGTCCATCAGTTCAAAGGGAGGACTCGTTCCACAGGTCCCACTGTGCCTCCCTCTCGGCTGCAGAGTGAAATGGTTGGGGGCGGCCGCTGTGGCACCCATGCAACGGAGAGAGACTATGTACGACTATCACGACCAGGTAGGCAAAGCAGGCACTTGTATATTGCCCTGAGAAGGGCTGATTATGTAGGCCTACTTAACCCACAGCAATAATAACCGTGAGTGTCCCTTTAAATTCTATGATTGTTCTTATGCTGGAATCCCCCTAATGTGGTTCCCCCCCACTGGTTTGCTACACAGTGCCCACCTGTAAAGAGCTTCTGTGGCGGTATGCACCATAACATGTTGACCTCCAAAGGATATCTCCAAAATGTCTTATTGGATTATTATAAGATCCCCACATTTTTTTTTTTTTTTACATTTTTGTGTTCCTAATTGAAAACTGTTTATACTGTATTTTCTCCAGCTGTTCATCAGGATGGTGGATGTTTGGATTTAAAGTTTATGTGCTATGCAGTCAAGGCACTTTTTTTGTCTGTTAATTGCGTATTGTTAATATGAATGTGTATTCCAATTTTTAAATATAATTTCTTAACTAAAAAATGTGTTTAGCACAAGATGGTGGACGTTTGCATGTTAAATTTACTATGTGTGTGCACTTTCTAAAACTAACCTGGTAATGCAAACAAATGTTTGGAGATTGGAATGAGGTGTCTGATGTGATTGCCGAAGGGTTGGGGGGTTCACTTTGGTTTGATATAGGGCCCTACAGATCTCTTTGGGACCCCCAAGATGTCTCCCATCCACTCATCATCACAATCATTCATTCTTCCTCATAACTTCCAGATCAGTTCCTTCACAACTCAAACTTACAGCTGTCGCCCCATCATCAAGAAACCTGGTCTGATCCCCAACATCATTTCCAACTTCCCATCTATCTTCAGTCTCCCCCTCTTATCATCTTATCACTGCTCAATTTAAAACAAAAACTCAATTATTTTTTTAAACCTGTCCTGCCCAGCAGGCTGGTATAGAGTATGATGAGCTGGATACCATATTGTGCCAGACAGATTTTACTTTAACAAGAGAGTATGAAAATACTCCTTTGTCTGTTTTATTATTTATTTAATTATGTATTGATTTGTCACCGGGCCGGACAGGGGGCAGACACGGGGATGGGGGGGCACAAACAGACAGCACAGAGAAAGGACAACACCTGCAAGAGAAGGGGGATGGAAGGTGGGGACAACAGTGAAAAGCTGTGGGAAACACCAATTGCAGAAAGCAACGAAACCTGCAATAGAACAGAGAGGGGGGCTTGGGGAGGAGAAGAACAACAACAAACAATAAAAAAAATAATAGTAAAAGACAACCAGCCGAACAGCAGCAATAAACAGCTGACATATTAAGTCACACACATTAAATAAGCAGCACAGCCACGAGAGCTGGAATAATAATTTAAATAAGTAACTGGAAGAAAAGCATCAGGAATAATTCTGTCAGGGACAACCTAAATTTGTTTGTGTGTGAGACTGTGTGTGTCTGTATGTGTGTGCGTGTACATGTGTGTGTGCGCATAAACCTGTTAAAGAATGTAGTTGTTAGTGAGAGTGGGACGCCACGACTGTGCCACACCGACCCCAGCAACAGACAGGCAAGAACCCCAGTAGCCAATAGGGGTGGGAGAAAGAAAAAGAATAAATCAATCAAAAAAACAAAGATTCCCAGATGCACCGCGATGCAAACGCAGAAGACCCCGACCCAAATGCCAGTTGACAACGTAATGCCGACGGAACGCAAAAAGCGTAACCCGCGGAAGAGCAGTGCCCGGACCGACCGCGGCGCGCACACAACATAGACCAGTGCTTCCCCGCCACCCAGCTCACCTCAAACAACCAGTTTGAACCATTTCAATCTGGATTCCACTCACAACACAACACTGAAAAAACCCTCCTCAAAGTCGCCAATAACCTCCTCCTCTCCTCTGACTCTGGTCACCTCACCATCCTCATCATGCTCGACCTCACTGCAGCCTACGACACCGTCAACCATTCCACTCTTCTTTCCCGACTGGAAACCTACTCCAACATCACCGACACCGCACTCTCCTGGCTATTTGTCTATGTCTATTTTCCGCCGCCACACTCCCATGTTACATTCAGTAACAGTCCCAGCTCGTTATTGGTGCATGCAACAACAAAAAAACTGCACTGATGCTTCGTCTGTATTTATTTATTCTTTCGCCAAATCATCTGCTTCATGTTTACACCGACACGCGCATGCCAGTGTACGTGAACGGGTCCTAGCTGTGCGTTTTCAGTCGTTTTAATGTAGACGGAGATCAGAATACAGAATAGTGTGGGTTCATGGGGCCTTAAACTCCTTATCTGAAACGTTGCTGATCAAACGCAGTTATCACCTCAGATTGTTTGCTGAATCTCAAGGAATGCTACATCTAAGTGTAATAACTTATTGATGACTAAACCTTTTTCTATATGTACTTTGAATCAATCATCCCTACTGATGAACCCCACAAAGAACTGAACAGTAATGTTACACTCGGAGGTGCACGGCTCTCTCCGGCCAGGTGGCGTAACAGTTTCAGGCAGAACTCTGCAGCCGCTCCTCCCTCGGCTCTCTGCCTTTAAACCCTTCATGTCCCTCCGGTTCAGCCACTTATAATAGTGTAATAAATGTTGATTATTAAAGATTTTAAGGCAGCACAACGCTGCCACCACCTTTGTTTACCCGGTCTGGTCCTGCATCAGAGGCAGAGAACAGAACCACAGAGACAGGAATGTAATACAAAATACAATCTTTATTGGAAATACATATTCATCTGAAAAAGGGACACCGCACGCAGAGAGCCCTCACAAAGGTCAACCCCTAATGGCCCCCAGAGCCGCCCTACCACCCTATGACACAGCACTGCAAGGGAACCTCGCACACACTCTGAGAAATTACTACAAAATGCACCGCAACCTGCAAACTACTGAGACACCATATAAAAATGCACCACATTTAATAAGGACCACTTCAAACCACAAGCTGGTCAGAACAATTTCTACCAATAGGGAAGGCAGAGGGCCCCTTTTGCCACCAGCGAGGGATTACCTGTTTTACAAAGGGACACCCCTAATGGGTGTCAATTTACTAAAACCTTTTTAAGATAACTCATAATAAGACTAAGACACAAAACTCTTGACAAGACAACATACAACATCAGAAATGTATGAGCTTAAAACTTATTTGCCCTGGGTCTGACGACCATACCCCCCCCACCCCTGTGGGGAGCGGACATGGAATCTCCCGTAGACCAGGAAGCGCCATAGACACACTCCGTTCAGCTTCAGACCCCGGCTGCGGACACCCGGCTTGGATTGGCGTGTTGCCGTGGAAGGGTGTGCAGCCTCGTGCAGCTTCCGTCCGTGAAGTACAGGCACTTACTAGATCCCGATCCCTCTCTACCTAAAGGAGACGCGTGCCTCCCCTCCTAACACAGGAACAGACCCCCTGCCTGCTTCTTCACTGCCGGCAGCACTAAAAGTTGCACCGTCCCGCTGCGTGCCAAAAACCACAGCCACGGACCAAACACAGGTGAGAGTAACCAGTCATCACTACAAGAATCCTTCCATTCAAGTGTCTACAAGGCGATGGAGACTCTCCCCGCATTTATTCATTACAATAGTATCTAACTGAACAGTTACTACGTTACAGGACGAAATCTCATATTGCCCATTTGTAAAGTTTGCCGTTAACATAACGTCATCTAACAGAGCTGAGCCAGAGACGTTTGACTGAGCCTTTACTTTACAACTTCACACTCGCCTTTTCTTCAAAGCATTATCACCCTAATGTCTAACACTAAGGTTAATCTAATATATTTTGGCTTCTCTCTTCTTGCTGACTTGTCTTTGACTCCTTAAAAGCTGCGGTTGGAACACACTAACTCCCGTTAACTGAGAATCGTTAGCAGCTTTAGCGTAACAAGCTAACCTCGCAAGCTATTTGCCAACAGCAATACCAGTTAATTATTAACACATAAATAAAGGACAGGAACTTCACTCACCATCTGGAACACGGACTTCCTGGTGGTTCTCTTTCCAATAAGCCTGCCATTATTCATCTGGTATCTGCATGTAGAAACGTCCAAACGGCTCCAACAGGCTGAGCCTCAGAGCTCCGTGTATTAGCTGAGTGAGGCTAACAGACGGCGGACCAAGTGCCAGCAGTGACAGGGGCCAGAGACGCCTGTCATTCAATGCGGCCACGCCCCTAATAATGCAGAACTTTAAGGCTTAATATAATTTAAACAGGTGAGTTATAAAACATTCACCCCCACAGCAACTCCTTCTGGTACTGTATTCCAAATGCCTTATTCAAGAAAATTGGAGGCTTAGAATTTCTTCTTAGAGCAGATTTTAATGTTGACAAATAAATACCTATATCGTTGTCAGAGTTTCATAGACAAATACTCTTGTATTGGAAAATGTTATATGTACATAACTTCTCACCCCACACATCTGTACTCTGGAACAACAGATACAGTGGGTATGGAAAGTATTCAGACCCCTTTAAATTTTTCACTCTTTGTTTCATTGCAGCCATTTTCCAAAAATCAAAAAAGTTCATTTTATTTCTCAGTAATGTACACTCAGCACCCCATCTTGACAGAAAAAAACAGAAATGTAGAAATCTTTGCAAATTTATTAAAAAAGAAAAACTGAAATATCACATGGTCATAAGTATTCAGACCCTTTGCCGTGACACTCATATTGAACTCAGGTGCTGTCTATTTCTTCTGATCATCCTTGAGATGGTTCTACACCTTCATTTGAGTCCAGCTGTGTTTGATTATACTGATTGGACTTGATTAGGAAAGCCACACACCTGTCTATATAAGACCTTACAGCTCACAGTGCATGTCAGAGCAAATGAGA